ATGGCAGCTGCTCCATCCAAGTGCCCAGGACCCCCTCCCACTCTCCAGCCTGCAGTTTTCCATGGTGGTCCATTCTGCCACTAGGCCCCTGGGTTCTGACTCTTGGCTGATCGTGGATGCTGAATTCTGGACTTGGCACTATGCCCTGCTCAGGAATGCTCCTGGGCCATCCTTGGTCCAAAGCCACCACCTTGGTGCCTCCAGAGAAGGGTTTAGATAACCAACACAGACTTCTCTGAAACCTCAGGATCTGAGAGCTGGTGGGGAACCCCCTCCGGGGTGGGGGGAACAGAAGTGTGTGAATGTGTGTCTGTCTGAGTCTGTGTGTGTGTGTGCATGTGTGTGGATGTGTACAGTATGTACCCGACTTACAAATGAGTTTCATTCTGGGGAACATTTGCAAGTCATATTCATTTGTAAGGCTGACCTTTGATACAAATATACAATGTGAAGCATAAAAAATCCAAGTGTGAGGTCTGTTCGTATCTGTGAAAGTTCACCACTTGTAAGTTGGAGACTTACCATGCTTTTAAATCTAATACGTACATAAACCTCCTACAGACACACAAAGCTTGCTTAATCACTAGTGACCATGTTCCAAAGCTGTTCTAAACATATTATATATAAAACTTCATGTATATATTGAATGAATCTCATTTAAACACATTTCATATATTTGCATAAACCTCATATATAAAACCTCGAAGACAGGTGCATTACGTAAGTCACCTTGCATCACTCCGCAGTGCAATGATGGTGAATCTTTTAGAGCTTTCGATGATAACAAGCAGTCTGCTTTGGCATGCGCGCCTTAGGTTCGCCACCACTGCCAGTGTCTGTGCCAACAACTGCTATAAAATTATATTGAATAATGGCATAAATAATGGAATTTATATGAATCATATCTGTAAAATATTGAATATATACACCTACCTATGAAAATCCCAAACACTGAATTGTGGCTGGATGTTAGAGATTGTACTAAGTACAACACATATTCACTTATATACAGATCTCATGGATGAATCTCATTCAATCAGTGAAATGACTACATGCCAGCAGTTCCACACAGTATATATAATCTAATTTTACATATCAATGTGGCATATTTAAATAAGTGTCATTCTTTAAAAATTGCACCTACATACATCTACAGACACTTCTGTGTGTAAGTCTGCTTTAATCATTCAAAACATCCCAAGGCAGGCACAGCTGTCACCCTCAGGGCTGAGCAAGGCCGCTCACCTGGTGCCCATGGTATTGCTCTCAGCGGAGCACCTGAAAGCCCTCCCACCTACTAGTCCCCCAAGTCTCAGAGCTGTACTTGCCTTGATGAGGGCAATTCCAGCTTCTGATGACTCAGGCCCATGCCTCACACTCACCCTAGATGCCTCCTTCCCTCTCCCTGACTCCCCACCCAGCCTACCTGCCAATCTTGCTCGGCATTCCCATCAAACTCTGGGACTCCTGCCCGATCCCTCACTGCGGCCTCCACTGAGGTGCAGGTGGAAATCCCATGTCCCGTTTCTGTCCCTGCTTCTGCCCTTCTTTGTCTATTGCTGTGGAGTGAATCTATGAAAGCACAAGCTAGCCTAGGCCGCCCCTCCCTGGGGCTCCCTACTCACTTGGAATGAAAGTTCACATCCTTATTACAACCCCCGAAGCCCAAGGGAATGGCTTTCACCGGAGATGCACCCACCCACACACTGAAATATCTCTCAATCGCCTCTGCACGATTTCTACATGCGGTCTGTGGGTACCTAGCACTCACTGAGGGTGGGTGAGGAGAATGCTTTGCAGAGAACTCTGTTACCCACTGTGGCATGTGCATACAGAAACAAGGAAAGGCTTTCCATTTCACCTCAAGTCAAAGGACAATGGGGCACCGGCTGTACCTCCTAAAATGTGGAGGGCACAGCAGACTGATCCCTGGGGCCCAGAGACCCCACCTGGGAAAGGCGGTAGTGGACCACCAGACTCCTAGGGTCTGGTAAGGGATTAAGAGACCTGTCACTATACAGGTGCCTGGGCTTCAAGGAAACCAGACCAAGCCAGAGAGGTCAGCTCTCAGCTGCCAGGAGGTCCTGAAGTTTCTCTGTTCAGAAACCACGGAACCTGTTCATGAACCTTATGTCCAGGCTGCAAAAGGAGGAACACAAGCAAATGGGAGACGACGTTTCAACCTTTTTATTCAAAGCAGCTTCTCACAATGTATAAATACTGCATATTAGCACACATGAAAAATACAACTTCTAAGGCACCCAGAAATGTGTTCATACACGTTACAGGACCATTCACAAAGAGAGTGTACAATTTGCTCTAGACAATCAGCATTTGATAAATCAGAAGATTATTATCCCTCAGGACTGCACCCAGTTTCAGGAAATATTTACAACATGGTGAGGATGGGTCCACTGTACCTGCTTTATATCGCTATGAAGTGCTCATACTTACAAATGTTCAGAACTAGTTAAAGACTCTCCCATGATAATCTGGCAAAATAAAATGAGTAGCCTAATTTGCAAAGGTCTCCGTGGATTTTGGTGTGTATGCTACACCCATGACCCAACCCGAACACTCTTAGGGTGGGCCGGGTAAGTTTTTGGTAGCCTGCTTCGATACAAGAAGTTTGGTAATAAGCCTTACCAATAGAATAGCACTTTTTCAACACCCATCGTTTCTCAACTGGTTAATGGATCAGTGATTTCATCATGCATGAGAATGGAGTGCGGATTGAGGAAAATTCTCCCCCACTCCCTGCCAAACCAGAATTGGAATGGGTTGATGCAGAACTAAAGAGGTGGAAATCTGGCAGTCAGAGGATCCTGCTTCTCAGCGTAGACACAGGTGCAAAACTCACACCAGAGACTCATATGCAAATGGGGACATCTACACTGGTCAGATAAACCCAGAGAAATGCCAGATTTCCACTTTATGTGACATGAATAAAAAGCTTAGGACTACACAGCAGAAACACCACCTGAGATAGTGAGTTTCGACCTTAGAAACTCCTCTTTCAGAGCCTCCCCAATGTAACAAGTCCCTGTGTCTGGCCAGCCAGGGGAAGCATGAGGTTGGGGTACTTAGAGGTTTCCCTGTGCCATCAAACTCACACTTCTCCATCTGGGCACCCCTAAAGTCCATGAACCTCGTGCTTTGTTGGAATAATTGAATTCTTTGGTCCTTGGTTTTATGAAAGGCGATATTTTCACAATCCTGTGAACATAGACATTGGCAAATGACTTCAAGCTGAGACTAATGGCACAGGGACAAATTCAATACTAGATAGAAAACTCTACACCTTCTGAATTTCCCAGAGCCAATTTAATGAGCTCTGGCAGGATGCCCAATGTTGGGCCATTGAAGGGAGGTTAATCTACAGAGACATTGGAGCGGAAGCCTAACACCAGACACTGGCTTTTCTGACTTACCACACGCATCGCAAAAATGGGAATCAAATTCACAAATTTCCATTCAGTGGTTGATAAGATGACCTTATGGATTCCTATTAAAGACGGACCAAATGACTTCAGCCACACTGTAACCAGGGACTCAAGATCTTAGATCAAAAGCATTGGTAAGGAAGATCCGTTGACCACTCAATTGTGGCCAACTAAAAGGAGTTGTAATTTTTTTGAAAACTTAAGGCCGGATTCTAGCTGGTTTTATTAGATTCCCAAACACACTGATCTTACTGCTGATCATCACTATGACTGCCTTTTCTCCATTGAGATGGCCCTGGAGAGACGGACTTAGCTGGATGAGCAGGTCTGGCATTCCGACCACTTTCATCCTGTTAAACTCCAAGTTAGTAAGGCTTGACACACAGAGTTCACTGAGGGGACACATGAGAATATGGATTATGTAAAACTAAAACCGACTTCAGATTGTCTACACAGTAAGACTCGTACATAAACTTTGTTAACATCTCTCTCGGAGCGCTGACCTTAGCCAGACCGGTCATCTCCTCAGGTCGTCCACAAGGAGCCCTGGGTCCATCCCCGGGGTCAGGAGCAGGAGGTTTCATTTGCTCAGAACAAATGACGAACCAGCAGCCCTCCCCATGACCATGTCTACACCAGGTGACTAGTACGAAAGTGGCTCCAGAAAGTCTGTCCTTGGGCCAACCTTATGGTCAAAGACAATCACCAAAGTATCTATTTGGTCCCTGCTGCCATCGACTCAACCAAACTCTTCAGATTTAGCCATGACCGACAGACTACACTGAGCCCATCAACATGACTTACATGGAGGAAACAACCCGTATTACCCTTTTATTATTATTTTTGCAGCAATCTTAAGGCTCTGTTCACAAACTCCATCAACTGCCACACTGTGAGAACTTATGGGGAGATCTTAAACTACACACATAATTGCGAAGGTTGGAAAGTTTATGATCCTAATGGTAAGGCTTATTCACAAATTCAATACATTTTCAAATGATACTTCAAACTTAGTTACTTCTAGAAAAAGAAAATGAACCTGCTCTCTAACAATATAAGAGCAGTAGATTTTAAAAACACAAAGATCAAAATAAAAACATTGGCACCAAACCTGTATGCTAGTTTTTTGAAAGAACAAGTGGTATTAATGGAAAAGATTGCCTAAAACGCATATCCTAACTTACCACAGAAATATAAAAGTTTATATTTTGAAAATATATACTGTATTAAAGTCTATAAGCATTTCAACCAAAATCTGCAGAAAGAACTAAGCAACACCTATCTACAACAAAAATATACATGCAAGACAACCCTCAAAGATGTATCTACAAAGGCAAAGTGTAGATTTTTTTAAGATTTTACAAAACCATTTACAGAAAATAAAATAAAATACTTAAGAAATCTCATTTAGAGTCTTAAATACTGTGTATATTAGTGAATGTCTAGACTAATATATACAACAAATCTAAGTATCTGAATACAGAAACACAGAAGAGGATCAACTCTGCATTTTAAATATCCACTTAGGAAGATTTGCAGATGTTTCTATTTGTTTCTCTTCATTAAAAAATTTCCACAGAAACTAGATTGGAAAAAATCTCATGAATGTGACTAAATTCAAAATTAAAAAAAGTTTACAAACTTTTTAAAAGTTTTTTTTTAAAGGTTTTGAAACGAACCATTCATAATGGGAAATGCAACTCAGCATTTAGTCAAGGCTATTTTAAAATGTGGCTTATTCAGAGATAGAGCTGCATCGTTGTTCAAATTGTATTGTGAGTATTATTTTCCCATCCTCATACTAAGCTTCATATGAGGAAAACATATTACCATGCTTCTGAGAGACCACTTTCTAGTTTCATCTATACCAAACAAGAGTACTATTTCAAATCAATACCCTACCTCCTTCTCATAGTTACCCCTCATAGTGATGCTTATTACCTGTAGGCCTTATTTCTGCGGTAGAAGGGACACAGGTATAAATAACATCTGCATCCCGCTGTGATTTCCGCACTTGGAGGAAATACGAGCATCTAAACAGAAGTTCTGTGGAAAGATCCCTGGGAACAGGGCTGTTCACTCCCATGGCTCCACCATAAGACATTGGGTGACAGGCATAACCAGGGTTGGAGCAGGGGATAGGGGAGGCTATTGAAGGAGAGGAGTGGACTTCCAGAAAAGCCTTTCACTCAGGAGAAGCACCCTCAGCCTCCCACCCACAGCTGTTCTTCCAATACCAAAGGGATTCTGGAATGGGCTGCCAAGCCCAGTGACAGTTCCTCAATGACCTGCCCAGGCTCTAGCGAGGGATTTGGGGCGAGGGGGAGAAAAGTAGGAAAGAAAGTTTCCCATGGGTGGAGAGAGGGTGCTGGGGTACAAGATTTTAAAAATGAGGACTACCTGAAGAAGACTATTTGGGTAAACATAAACACAACCATAAGTCTGGTGTTTTTCTTCCCAGATAGATTTGCTGTAAATTACATGGATTTCATTTACATATTGTCAGAAAGTGAAAAATACACTGGCAAAGGGACTTCACTAACTTTTGCCCAACTGTGGAACTCCATTATTCAGCTGACTTTATGCAAACAACCAAAAGGCAGACTCTTTGAAAATACCTCCTGTTACACCCACAACCTACAAGTTAGCAGCATGAATTCCACCTTAGAGATGGTTTCACCTGCCTACTTTAGTCACTACAGATCCACAAACTATTCAGGGGTTTGAAACTGATGATACCCCCAAAGCTAAGACATTTCAGCAAGAAACAAAGGTGGATATTGATCAGAATGAATTTCTAAATATCCCCTTCCATTTCCACTGAGCATCTAGACACTGTTTTTGAAGCTACTGAACATAACTGCACCTGACTGGAATCTGAACAGAAAGCAGAGAACCATTCCTAAAGATGGATCATTTGGGCTTCTGGAGGTGAAAGGACTCTGACTGTACAGACAGCTCAGCAGACAGGAATTTTGCTCAATTTCCTGGAAGGCCAAAACCAGTGATCAATGAGCACGTGGAAGAAACGGTCTCTGAAATCTAAGTTCAGACATTTGCACGAAGAAGTCTCACAGAGGGCCACACGCTACCAGGTAGGGCCTGTTCCTACCTGTTCCTGATGCCCTCAGAGTAGGAACTAGGTCTGTTTGGGGATCATTTAACTGAGAGCCCTTTATCTCTTTAAAGACAGACAGAAAAGAGAAAATCCTGCCATGATTTCTCTTAAGGATAAGACTACAGAATTGGTATTATGTTACCACAGCTACACAAAGAGGGTCTGATGCAGAGCTATTCCTTTATCCACAGAAATCCTTCTGTTCTCATCTCTCTGAATTTTATTTCTACATGCTTCATTGCTAGAATGCACCAAACAGCGTGAACCTCGAACGGTATTTGGTCCAGGGCAGTATGAAAATAAGATCTGTGTGAACAACAGACATCATAATATATAAACAAAAATAAATAAATAAGATAAATCCAATTAAAGAAAAGAAAGCATTTTCCTAGTAGTTCATGTTTTTTTTTTTTGCAAAACTAGCTTTACATATAATACACATAAATTATCAGAATTTCCACTTACGCTGTTTTAAAAATATATATTTAACAAAACATTTCTAAATGTACAATATCTGGGTTTGTGAATCACTCAGTTGGGTTTTAAGACCAAGCCCTAATAGTCACACAGACTGCATCGGAGAGGAGACGGAAGCTTGCTCATGGGTCTGTGAATTCGCTAGGATGAATCGTCTACCCTCACCCAGAGCGAAGCGTGCTGGCCTCGTCTCCCAGTCAGAGGCACTGTGTAGACACAGCCTGAGTTGGAAGGGTGGGGGGGCGGTCTCCCCTTCCTGGACCACGATGGTGCATTTCAGCAAGTGGGGAGGGACAGCGGGACCCAGTAGGGCCCTGGGAAGGCAGAGCCCTCACGAGCTCTGTCGGGTGGGACATGGGGGAGGCCAAGTGTGCTGCGTCTCCCACCATCACACAAAATCAAACCAATGAGGAACAAGCAAAGGACACAAGGAGATGGACACGACCCTAGGTGCACAGAGACACTGGGAAGAACTCCTTGGCCGGGCAGATGCTGGGCTCCGACGCCGGAACACAGGCTAGGGTGCAGTTAGGCACCCTTGCGCGGGCCTCAGACCTCATAGATCTTGTCCTGCAGGTAGCTGAACAGGGAGTCCAGGCCTTTGGAGGAGCTCCAGAGCTGCTTGAGCATGACGCACTCCTTCTCGTTCACGTCCTCCAGCACTGACTTCAGGAAGCTGCGCACCAGGCATTTGGACTCCTCTAACACCTGCAGGGAAACGCACAGGCCTGGTTAGCCAGCCCAGGGACCATGCATGCAGTCAGGAGGCAACCGGCCACTTTCTGACGTCAACGCCAGTGACTTCTTCCTTTAGCATGGCCCATCACATTCCACGTCACCTCAGATGGAATCCTGCAGGGGACTGAAATATCAGTAATGCCCCAAAGCAGGCTGTGAAGAGTGAACCCCACAATTGGCTTGTTGTGAGAAGTGAGTCCGGCCAAAGCGCTAAGGTCCGAGTAACTCACCCAAATTCCATTCCCACAGCGAAACGTTTTAACGAGTAGGACAATGTTCTAATTACAACCGTATGTTTTGTCTATTCTGTTCCTAATTTGAGAATGCTTGGTCTTGTCTTTCACAAGCCTTGTTTACATTAATTTCCATAGAAACCGCACAACTGCACCACCTTGCACATAGCTCACTTTACCCCAGTCAATTACCGATAAAAATAAGTGGCTTGGCCTGGCCAGCACCTTTGTCAGTTGCACCAGCATCAATAATCCTGGCACCCCACTTTCTGTCTCTCTTAGTTCTTTCAGTTTTTTTTTTTCCTCAGGCCTTCATTGTACACTGGGCAGGAGACTGGATCCTACTGCAGAGCTCTCCAGTAATGTTCCAGGGGGCCCCAGTTGAGTCCAGCTGGGTAAGATGTTGAGTCCTCCACCCCAGGAAGGATGGGGGTCCATGGTTCCCCAACCACAGAGCCTTGTCTTTTATCCACAGGTGAAATAAATTCAGTGCCATCTTCTATGGGTGCCATCAAAAAATTTTCAAAGCACCGCTCTAACTTTCCCATGCCACGAATGGATTCATTTTCCTGATTTGTTTGGGACAGTGGCACTAACTCAAAGGCCTTTGGGGACATAGAAAAAGGTAATAAAATGAACTAATGGTTTTTTAAGTATCCATATGACCTGCCCAACTGCAATGTCCCCTTTAGGCTTAGTCGTAAGAACAGTAATAATAATGGTAAAAGTAATTTAGTAACAAGTAATAATAATTGTAGCAATTATTACACCAGTGATAGTAATAACCATAGTGAATAATAATCCTATCAATCATAGTGATAATCATAAGAATGAAGAATTTCAGCAACCACAGTGATAATAATTATAGTAACAGGCAGTAATAATCATAGCAATCGTGGTCATCATTATCATAGCACTAAGCAATAATAATCAGAAATAATGGTAATAATTATCACAGTAGTGAATACTCACAGTAGTCACATTAATAGTAATTGTAGCAATGATCAGTAGTACTCATAGTAATAAGCAGTAATAGTAGTGATAATAGTAATAGTAGCAACCCCACTACCATCACTATTAACCCACAAGCTCTGCGAGAAGTCCTTTTCCTGAATTCTTTCACTTTCTGCTCTTACTGTAGAAGTGGGTCCTTTTCATTGTCATCACAGACGAAGACGAAGGATCTGAAGAACGGGATGTGACCCAGGCTGCCTCTCGGCCGGCACAGCAGGGAGGCTCAGGCCTGGCTGATCCCCACAGCCTGCCGTGGAGGCGTGGCCAGAAGCCAGGCCTTTGAGCAGCCTTCCTTTGGCCTCCACCTGCCCCAGCTTGGCTCAGGGCTTAGTTCCGTGTCCCAAAACACTTTCAAACAGAGAAGAGCAAAAGGAGTGCTCCCGGTGCCGCAGAACCCTACTGCCCAGTGAGAGTAGAGAGCAGAGTCCTGGAGGAGAGGCCAAGCTGTGGGACTCCTCCTCCAGGGACTCCAGAGTTCTCCAAGAGGCCACGCACTTAGCTATGCTGGCATGGAGCCCTTTCTGGGAAACCACCCAGAGCTCCTGGATTTCCCTCTGATGTCCCCTGTCCGTGGGCCTCTCCTAAGACAGGGTCCTCTCAACTGTCCTTCCAGCAGCTGCTCCCCTCCCACCTTCATCCAAGGCCTCTCTGCCCATCTTGTGCCATGTGGCAGCTGGCACAGGTGGCTGCCTGTGCTCACCGTGACCCTCCTGGCTCCTGCTCACAACACGCTGTGTTCCCTCCTCAGATTTCTGCCTGTCCCTCCGCGAGACTGACCTGGGTGATGGATCGTACCACTCTGCCCAGGACACCGAGTTTTCCTGGGATGCAGGGGTTTTCCAAGCTAAAACCAGGAGAGTCTGTGGCAAAGTGAGATGAACTGGTCATGATAATCGCCAGGAAGGGGAAAGCAAATCCATATAAGATCAGCAAGGGGTGTGGGTTGTTGCCCTGGCACAGAGACCATCACTACTGCTGCTATTTAGCGCCCAGGGAGTGGGAGGCACCAAGCAGGCACCAAGTAAGTAGCTGATGAAGCTAATCAGGATAATCACAGCAACTAGGTGGGTGCAGGTGGATGGAGAAGGAAGCCAGGTCATGGGTCTGGCCCGCCCCGCCCCACCCACAGCCCCATGGTTCAGGATGCACACTCTCGGGCCCACATCTCAGCTCTGGAGCAGGCCCTTAGCTGTAGCACCAGCCTTTTCTCCCGCTTCCCACAGGACATTCCCCTCCTGTGCTCACGGTGACTGCCGTGAGATAAAATTGACACTTTATTAGAAACAGGCACCTCCGCAGCGGTGTTATTCATCTATTTTTTCAGTGCGTCTTCAGAGTCAAACAGCAATCGTTAGACGTGCCAAGCACTCGGTGGGCAGAAGGAATGAAATACAGGGACATTGTGTCCTGGCCCGGTCACGTCCAGGCTATCCTTGTTCCTAACCTTGTCCTTTATCTGCCCAGGCTTCTCATTCCTTTGAGCAAATTAGAAAATAGGGAATAGGGAACAGGGAGATAGATCTTCTGCAAATGGAAAGGGGACCAAGAGACGGAGAGGGTGAGGAGGAAGGGAGATAGGAAGGATTAAGACGTGTCATGCACCCGTACCAACTCCCCGCGAAGAATGCAATCATTACCTGTGCAGACACACAGTAATAAAACCTAACACGCGCACGAAAAGAAAGCTGTAGATGTTTTGTGCTTTTGTGTGTTCTGGACTTTCTCCTAAAGCAGTGCCCTCTACTCCAAGCCATGCTCTATGAATCTCTCCCATGAGGCTCTTCTGCTGGGTGGGGAGGCGAATACGCACGGGCCTCCATCCCTCACCAGCAGGCAGCGTGTGTGACTCCTCCGCGGGGCCTCTGGCCTACGCCCCGCCTGACCTCCCGTATATCAGTCAGTCCCACAGGACTGGCTGTCCTCCTCTGGAAGGTGGGTCTGCTGTAAGGAAGGACCGGCCCATGGACACACGGGAACTCACCACGGCGCTGCACGATGCCATCTCCTTGACCCGCAGCATGACCTCCTGGCTGAACGTGGTGGGCCAGAAGACCTGGGACACCAGGCCTCTGCTGCATGCCTCCTGGGCGGTGAGCTTCCGCCCGCAGAACAGCATCTCATTGGCCTGAAAGAGCAAAGGCAGGGAAGGGCTGAGGGTGCAGAGATCTGCCCATGCCCTTCAGCGAGTGCCAGGCCAGCTGGGCACAACTGTCCCTGCTCCACAGGGCAGGACTCACAGCCTGGATTTGGAGATACTGTAAGCAAATTGCATGGGAATGTTTGCCTCTGCGTTCATTTTAAAATGAACCAAGCAGTGGTGCCTCTGCTTTCATTACATTCTTGAAAGAAGCCACACATGTGCAGTAGCCTTGTCTGCCCAATGCTGCTCCCACTTCCAGTGACAGACAAAAGGTGGGCATCGAGGGTGGGCACGTGCCAGTGCCAGGGCCCCAGTGTGACAATGGTCTAGGGATGATCTAGGCTACAAAACAAAGCTCTCCTGAGAGGTTCCCACCCAGAGATGACGGGGGGGGGG